ATGCGGCCTGTGCGTGTATAGGATTACAGTGTCGTCCCGGTTGTGAACGGCAACGTGAAAAAGAAATTGACAGCGAGGAGTGGCTTGCTAGTCAGCGCCCCACTTTGTATGTTTGCGGGAGAGCGATACAGATATTTTTCTATGTGTTGAATAATGGAGATGCTTCTTCCAGGGCATACGCTCTGTGAAATCACAACGGGTGGCAACTCCGTAGTCACTTTCTGTCCAGATATGCTCCGGTTGTGAACGGCAACGTGAAAAAGAAATTGACAGCGAGGAGTGGCTTGCTAGTCAGCGCCCCACTTTGTATGTTTGCGGGAGAGCGATACAGATATTTTTCTATGTGTTGAATAATGGAGATGCTTCTTCCAGGGCATACGCTCTGTGAAATCACAACGGGTGGCAACTCCGTAGTCACTTTCTGTCCAGATATGCTTCTCTGGAGCGTGATTTTGTTTCCATCTTGAAGAAGGGCTTGACGCTAGAGACGGTATCTCGCTTGGAGACCGCACTTATTTGCACTATAGGGAGACACGGTGATATTAGAAGTAACTCCGTGGTAGCGGAAGCCAGTCCCAAGCTGTTGCAGGCATTGTGGCTGGAAGGTAGTAGTGCCCCTTTGCTCTCAGAATCCATGTTAAAATTTTCAACCTATGTTTATCGGATCGTCACGGTTTGGTTTTGTGCCTCCATTCCACGGTCATGGAAATAGCTCCTCTCGCTCTCCTCGGCATTTAGCACGCATGCTTGCCGATCTAGTCAAAGGTGGAAACCGTGGTCGCTTTTCATCCTCGCGTAGTCTTTGGGAGCCAGGTGGCCTTTGTCATGTCTCATCAAATCGCCTGTACTCACTGGCGTTTTTGTCTGCGCCAGTCGACTTTTTAGGTCGGTCGTTCTCGTAGAGAACTGCGCGTGGTTTCGCAGTTGAGGACTCGGCGCTGCATTGTGAGATGCTGGTAAGGTTCCCCTACGCCTGCCGGTCGGAACACTTTGGTCACCTGTGCCTCGCCTCTTTTGCCTGCCTGTGGTTGGGTACTTACCCGGCCACCATGTCCTAGAACTGTCGCTTTCGACTGATGACCTTCTGCTTTCAGGGGATATAAGCTTCAGTCTGTCCATTACTTTAGATCTATGTTCAATTTAATTATGCCATTTTCATCAGAGATGCTGGGCCAGGAGGTCTTCCTGTGTGGTTCTGTTTGTCTGTTGCGTTATTGATGCCTTTCAGATGTACGGGCGTGCAACTTTTCAACTGAGCTACGGGATGGTGTACGGTCTGGTTTGTTGTTGCTGACTATCGGTAGCCCGGATGACTTTTCAATCTGAGGATGATCTTCTGGAGATCACCACTAATTTATAAATGGGCACGCTTAGGTTTGGCAACAGTTAAGTGACGTAGCTCGGTAAACCTGAGCTGACCGTGTCAGCGCCTGACTCGGTCTTTCAGATTGTCCCGCGGGCTTTTCCTTTAGCCAAAGAAATAACCTATTGTTTTTCCCTTGGGTGGTGCCCAGGCGTCCGAAGGCAGCAAGGAAGCTGGATCTCACTGCAGAGTGATGAGGCTTCTGCAGCTGCTTCTTCCCGTAGGCCCGGGACTGCTTGCGTTCTTACGTTCCGTCTCTTATTGTTGTGCTGGTGTGAGGGCCTTTTGGGCGCTGGATTTGAAGCGGGGCAAACAGCACCTAACACCAACAGAAACTGTTCCTGACTGCGGGTATTTGTTCTGGGCCAGGTGGAGATCCACTTGGAGGAGATACATAATGAAGGTCTGCTGGTGTCATGGATGTTCAAGGACAGACCGGACTTGAACCTTTTAGTTCTTCCGAGACTTCAACTTCATGAGGTGAGTGGTAAACAGCAGGAGGCTGGACTTGAGCGGAGCAAGGGCCGGACGGGCAGAAAAGGCGCTGAGCCATGAGGAAGGCTGTGTGGAGGGAAGAGGTTGGCAAATCGCTGTCGTGGCCCTTTAGGGCATGGGAGGGAATTCTCTTGCCTCAAAATTGACACTAGCTCAGCTCTGTCAAAACAGAGCATCCTCAAGAGGGCCGAAGCGGTACCGATGCCTGTTGTCTGAGTTTGGCATAGCAGGTGAACAGGAGTCTGCGTAGCAAAAAACCTTTCTGTCTACGTAAGTCCCCTTGCTGGTGTCAGAGGTAGAGCTTCAAAATGAGCTGTGTCGGTTAATTTGTTTGTTTCTTTGGGGTTTTTTTGAGAGGTTTGCATGTGGAACCCATGGGTGTTAGAGGTTGAACAAGCCGAACGTGGTTGTACTTGCACTTCCGTGATCCATACAGGTTGGCCGATTTGTTTGGTGTCTTGATGCCCATGTCATTTTGTTCTGAGCAGACGCGGGAATTTGGCTCTTCTCCCGAAAGTGCGGTAGTAAAAAAAACTCATGAGGCGGTAAACCGTAAAAGCTGTATTGTAAAAATTTCCAACGGGTAGGCTGCAGATGTAGGGGCTTGGTTTGTCTCATTTAGGAGGACTTCCATTTGCCTGCAGCTGTTAGAGGGAAGCTTTAAGCACTGGAGAGAGTGGGTACAGGATACAGGAAGAGTACCTGGGAGATTACTTCCAGGAGAAAGATTGTGTAGCATCTTAGAAGCTCGAGAGGCAGTTGCAGCTGTCTAAGGAGAAAATGTGTCCGCCTTGTTATGACTTCCCTGCATTTTCTCTTGATTTGCGGAGAGAAGAATGAAGGGAGAGTGGATCTGTCGACCATAAAGGATCTGATTGAGGATACCATTGTCACCACGCAGCCAGCCATGATGGTGACTCTGAAGGCCTGCACCGCTGGAGCCAGCGTGGTAAGGCTCTCATCTCGTGTCGTTCTCACCCCTCGAACGCTCTGCCCCTGGGTGCTTCTGAGGGCTGAGACTTGCTTTTGGGCGGTGGCCGTGTCCCGGCCTGTGTTGTTGTAGGTGCCAGGGTACTGCGGCATGGGGAGTAGTAGGCATAGTTAGGAACTGCTCTGAAGAGCAGTGCTGTTTGGAATTTGTTACTTGAACCCCGAGTGCGGGTTCTGTCGTGGTGGAGCCAGACTGCCTGAGATGCGCTTCTGTTTTGGCAGTCTCTCTGTCACTCCGAACACCGAGGATCCGTCCAGGGCGGCCTTTACGGGCACGCAGCGATCCACAGTTTGTTGTCTTTGGTGGCATGTCTGGCAGCCAGCGAGCTTATTCTTGTCTGCCTCTTTTCTTGTCTCCCTAATATTTCCCATCTGAAATAACGTGGGGGCCTACTGGAGGTTGATAGCTCAGAGGAGCCACAGCAGCTCTCGACGGCTCTGTGCACATTCCCCTACATTGGTGCGAGGACCTACTCTGTAGATGCCGGGATGAATGTCACGTGTCGTGCCGCTGCCTGCTGGTGAGCGAACGATAAAGGCATTGGTCTCGCTCCCGTCATCCCTCAGGTACCTGGCAATAGGCTGACTCGAGAGTCCCCGTCTGGAGTAGCAGCAGCCCCTCTGGGATCTAAGCTGTTGCTGTTGCGGAATCTTCGAGCGCTGAACTTGGGCTGCCAGGGGAAAGGAGGTAAGTGCAAAATCATCGCCAATCTGCAGGCGCGAGCGTGCAGTTGGTGAGATCGGAGCGAGCAGATGTTTCGGGTGGGGTCTGATGGAAAAGAAGGGCCTATGTCTGTCGGGTGGCCACCCCACATTGACAAGCGCACGTGCATTCTGTTCCTCCATTGCAGGACTCGGAGAGATATGCTGTGTGGCAGAGCTAGACAGCCCGCCGCAGCAGAAGCGGACAAGGCCGGCAACAGCTGGCAGTGCTGGTGCTGCAGTAGAGATGGAGTGGGATGAGGAGCTCTCTCTGTAAGTGCCTGCCCTCCCTCTGGCTAGCACGGTGGTGGCAGACTGGCATGCTCTCTGGGCGTCATTGCTGCACCGCAGTAACTGAGATGGGCGCTGTGCTTTTGCCTTGCCCGTCTGCCGGGCTACCGATTCCAGCGGTTGGCCCTGGCTTGCGTACGTGTTTCCCGCTCCCTGGACACACCGTGTTTTAACCGGATGGCTCTAAGTGCCGATCATGGGCAGCAGGTGTCGAAGGCCTGGAGTGTAAATCTCGAGACGGCTCGCCCCCTCGGCTTCCCCTGGCAGCCAACGCAGCCGTGCAGGGGACACGGACTGGAGTTCTCCTCTTCTGTGTAGTTTGCCGCCCCTTGTCGCATTCTCCAGTGTAGCGCATGTGTACCGGAGCCTCGGCAAAGGTGACGAGGCCTGTGAGATTCTTAGGGAGGGAAGACACGGAACGGGATAGTTTCCTCCGTGGCCGTTCTGCAAGGATTGCCTGCTATCAGCCTGTCTTTTTCTGTTTCAATAGGGAGTTGGGACCTAGAAGTAAAGAGCTGAAGCTGCAGGTGCTGGGGAACAGCGATGGAGGGGCAAGTGAGTACAGGCAGCTGTAAGACGGTGAGATGACAGTGCCTAAGGGACTTCCTGTACTCCGAGCATGCGGTAGTTCTGCGTCGGTACAATGTGTGATGAACTCCACAAAGGAGTTTTCGTATCTGACTTTTCGCGAGCCTCTGACTGCGTGAAGTAACTTTGGAGTCTGTTGTTCTTAGCAAAATGCTCTTACCCTGACCTTTATTTGGTACCTGGGAGGTTCCCGTGGCCCCATCTTGAAGTGGGGAGAGAGATGTGGGGATTTGCCCCTGTGTGTTGGAAGAACCCTGCAGAAGGCTCTTAACTGCGTTCGCTTGTATTCAGGTGGGGGCTGACCGCAGCCCCTCTTTTTTGACGGAGGCCACGCAACGGCACCCTCTTTAAAGGGACTCGATTTCTGGATCAGTGAAGAGGAGCGGAGGGGCACTGCCTGCCCCCTTCAGCCCTCGAACCTGGGAGCTACCGTAGCGGTGTGGATTTACTTTGTGGCGCATGGGGCCACTTCCTAAAAGCAGGGACTGTGCCTGGGAGACATTTGAGGTGCTGAGATCACATGGTGTGCTTTGTTTTCCTGTTCCTTCGCACAGATGTGCTGCTGGCACATGCCACGCTTTTGCTTGATACGTTGGGCAAACAACCGTCTGGGAGACGGGTCTGCTCGCTGGCCCCGGGAGCTGGGCAGTCGCTGGCAGCCGAAGCTACCATTATATTGGAGGTGAGTTCATGACTCTGTATGGTTGGCGCGAGCACGCTCTGGAAGCGTTCATGATGCGAGCCTCTGGCCGTAGGTGAGCGTGATTAGGCCCGGGCTCATTGCCAGGGACCTGGCGGACCCTTGGGCTGACGAGAGGCGTTGTGTGGCCCTCGGTCCCCAACCCTCCCTCTGTTCGACTGACGTGATAGTGGGGATATCTCCTTGGTGCCTGGTGTGGTAGCTTCTGTCGCGCGTTCGCCTGACTGCCTTTCCGTCTGGGAGGAGGAGAGCCTGTCTGAGCAGCGCTTTACTCTTTGTAGCTGCTGTTCCAGGAACCTCCGGCATCCTTGAACGCTCAGCATGCCACATCTCTGCGAACCAGCATCACACCCACTAAGAAGGTGGAAATGGACCGGACCATTATGCCTGACGGCACCATTGTGACTACTGTCACCACGATTCAGTCCCGGCCCAAGGCAGACTGCAAACTGGGTGAGTTTGCTCTGCGACAGGCCTCTTGCATGAGTAGCCACTGAGGGGGACATGGAGTCAGCTGTGACATTCCCAAGGCTGCCCGCGTGGGTGGTAGCAAAACCGTGTAGACGTCGTACGTCGCATTGCTGCGGACTCTCAGCTTGCGCAGCGCTTTTGACTTCTGAGTTGGAATGTGGGCATTGATGCTGTTCCCTTAGCGTCTTGTGGCTGGCGGGAGACTCGCGTGTAGCCTTGGGGTGGGTTTTCAGTAGGTCTCTCGCTACTTCGTCACCACAAAACCACGCGGTGCCGGCCTCTGCAGGCTTTCTGTGTGTGCATGAGGCTTTTTGAGGGTGTTTGCAGGGAGCCCCGACGTGGTAGCGAAGTTGCCCAAGATTCATTTCGGCTTACTGGTGTCTCTGCCTCTCTTTCACTGTGAAGATTCACCATCGAGGTCGCCTTCCAAGGTAGAAGTGACAGAAAAGAAGACAACGGTGCTTTTGGAGAGCAGCTGCCCTCATGGCCCCTTGCCCGGCAGTAGCTGTAAGTGCTTGGAAATCCGAGACTCCTACCGGTTCAACTACGTTCCTTAGCCTTTCTTGGAGAGCGGCAGTCTGAACGTGGGTTACCAAACTTACCTGTGTTCTCTGTGGAAGAGAACATCGGAGTGTCCGAGCGAAGGCAGGAACGGAGGGGTGGCGGTGGGTGAGGGCAGCTTAAAAAAGTTACACTTTGGTTATCTGGTCCATGCCTCTGGGTGTTTCAGTCCTCACCTGGGCTAGCTGGACAAAAAGAGCTTTGCTCACTCTGTGCTCGGGTCTCTGATCGTCTCCGGGACAGAGCAGAGTTTTGACAGTTTGTGGCCGAGGCTGCCAAGCTCTTGGGAGCCTTTGGAAGTCTCTGTTTGAGTGGAAAGGGTATTTTAATGCCATGCCTGGTGGGAAATGAAACTTTTTGGGTGCCTAAAATAGTCAAGAGCTATATGGAGATTCCTTTCTTTGCTTTGTTCGGGCAAGTCCGTAATAAATTCTGTTTTCTACTTTCGCGCGCACGTAGTCGCCCATTACGAGCGCCGCGGTCGGCGAGCTGCCTCTTGCCGGTGCTGAAGGTCGCTTCTTCAAGCATCCGCGTCTTTCTCGTGCTCAGGGGATAGTCATACGCCCAACGGCTTGGATCCAGTGGCTGAGACAGCGATCAGGCAGCTAACTGAGGCGAATAACAAGCCCATGAAGAAGACCCCGACGAAACGTAGCACGCTGATCATCTCGGGAGTGTCCAAGGTCTCTGGTAGTTGGAGGGCTCTATTTCCAATCTGGGAGGTTGTTTCTAGGGATGCGTGCATGAAACCACCCTGCCCCATAGGGACTGGTACGGGAGGGTTCTGGCGCGGACGAGTCGCTCGGCAGAACCCTCGCGCTCTTTCCTCGCAGCTTGTCGCCGCTTGTCAGCAAACGGGAAAGGTACCTCGCCCATCCGTGAGGCAGCTGCCAGTGGGAGTTCACAAAGAAAGGGAGGCTGCTGCCATAGCTGGTTGGGAACCTTGTGGAGAATCTGAGGGGTTATTCTCAGACTTGCTTAGGGGAGCAAGGGAGGTGCCACGGAACCCTTTGGAATCGGCTACGTTCCAGTGTGTTTTGGCAAAAGCAACTGGCATGTCCATACATAGGCGTGAATGGAAGAACGGAGATGAATGCCGTCCTTTAGACCCAGTCTTCCTCTCTGTCTGACTTCCTAACCCCCTTTCAGGTACCTATTGCTCAAGATGAAATGGCACTTTCTCTGGGTTATGCTGCGTCCCTGGAGGCCACGGCTTGCGGGGAGTCTGCGGCGGAGTGCGCAGCCGACCGGATGCGCGATTCTACCGAATCGTCACAGCTGCTGGAAGCGTCTCTGTCAGGACAAAGGGCCGGTCAGGAGCCGGATGAGACGACGCGATCAGACATCTCCGAGCGACCATCGGTAGAAGATGTCGAGTCTGAAACCGGCTCCACGGGAGCCCTCGAGACGAGGAGCTTGAAAGATCACAAAGGTAAGGATGAACCGTTAGGTGGTAGCTAACGTTGTCCTGTCGTGCTTAAGGACAACGCGACACCCGAGTTCCTCCCCTGAGCGTGGGGGCCGTGGCTGGCTTTCGGCACGGCGAAGAGCAGCTTCTGCCGGAGCCTGGAAGATCCCGCCTCTCTCCTACGCTTCTTGCCGCAGCAGTTCCAGACCGCTCTGTTTGTGGGTGTCCAATTCCTGTGGCCTTTTTGGTTTTTGCGCTTTCTTAGATGGGAATCCCGTGCAGCTTGTGTGTTCTCAAGAACCCATTTTTCACTCCTTGGCCTCTGGGCCTGCGGATCTGGGCCCGTGTCCATAAATTATTCGTTTTCTGAATTTGTCTCCCTCTGGAGAGGAAATGGAGGCCTCCCAAGGACGTGGACTGTACGGACCTCAACGCCCTCCCTCTTTTTCCATTAGCATCGAAGTAACTAGCGCCGCTGACTCGTCGCGTACCATAGGATGTCCACACAAACTCTTTGCTTTCAAATGTTGGAGCGAGCCTGCCCCAGCCAGGCTGCTGTTCTAGACCTTTCGGGCTAGTGTCAGCTAGGCAGATGGCACACCTTGTATTTGTCTGGTCATAGCGGTGATGGTTACAGTGAGCTACAAACTTACATAAATGAGCATAAGCCAAAATCTTGATTGCTCAGAATACGAGAGTGGGGCAAGCATCAGGGCGTCGTACCCTCGTACAAACAGGTGTGGTTTGAACTGCAGCAGCCCCTCGTTCACTCGTTAGCGGGTAGAAAGGTGCGTGGCCTGGATTCTCGAGAGACCTGGTGGGCAGAAAAGAGAAGGAAAAAAACTGAAAGCAGGCTCTCTCTGTAGTAAATGCCGTCGTAGCTTGTTTGGTGTGCGAGGTTTGGATGGCTGACGGTGATCGACATCTCGGTCCTGTCCCACCCACACGGGTCATCCAGAGCCATTGCAGTTATTTGTCTCTGGATTTGGGCGTCTCACAAAACTACGGGCAGTCGTTCCGGGGGCCCCTGAGATGGGCTAGTCCGAGAGGCCTTTCCCCCCATCGTGAGTTCCTCCTGGTGTCTCCGCACGTGGACGCTCTCACTCGTTTTCTGTTTGTACAAGTCTTAGCTTTATATTGCAATTCTGCACACTTCCACCAAAGGGCGGACGTTGTCACATAATAGGAAGTTTATGCAGAGGGGGCGCACGACGGCGTGTTTAGTGAAGCGGCTCGTTGGAATCGCGGTCCGTCCCTAAGGTAGCCTTTGCCTCCCGGTCAGGAGCTGGGATTGGCTGGCATGGTGCGCGCTCGGCCACTCAGGGCGAAAGAGGTCTTTGTGGCTCCGCCACAGCTGGGTGCGTTAGTCGCCCCCAAGACTCACTGGGGTGGGGTACTATCGTGGTTTCCGTCTCCTTCCTTTTTCTGTCTCTGCAGTTAGCTTTCTTCGGAGCGGTACCAAGCTTATCTTCCGGAGAAGGAGCAAGCAGAAGGAAGTGGGCCTGAGCCAGTCGCACGATGACTTGTCCAATGTCACCGCCGACTCTGTCGCCAGGAAGAAAGCTGGCAGCTTCTCCCACCGCCTCATCAAACGCTTCTCCTTCAAGTCTAAATCCAAAGCCAAAGCTAGTGAGAGCACAACAGCAGGTGAGAACTGAAGGAGGGAGAAGCCTGTCGAAAGATTGCGCAGAGATCCTTTTCTCGTCTCTTGTCTTCCCACTCCATGGTATCTGTGACCTGCTGTCCAGTTCCTTCCGACCTTGGCTGAGGGAAGATGCCCTAGTGCTTTACGCCACTGGGGGAGTGGAGGTGGCAAACCTGGGGCTCGGGCTGCTCGTTGGCCTCGGCTTGGCCTTCTCTGACTGTTGTACCCCACCGCGCTCTCCCAGAAAGTCTGGGTGGCATGTTAATCCCTGCAGGGGTCCCCGGAGCTGCAGAAGTGACTTTGCCCACGTGGCTGCCTGGCATTGGCGGGTGCATCCTGGAAAGCAGAGGGGACGCTCTTAAGCGGCGACCCTCTGAGGTTAAGACTGAGAAACTACCGGGTCAGACACGTTGCCGAGAAGCGTGGGACATAGCCTCGCTCAGCTCTTCTGGCAAGAGAGAATGACGTGGTTGTTGGCTGTCTAAACACTCTCATTGCTTCTGCTCGCTGCAGAGGCTGTAACCTGACCGAGGCATGAAGTGGGGTGATGTGTTTCTGGCCCATGAGCTGTCGGGAGACCGAGCTGCGATTCTCCACCCAGCTCTGCTGCTGGAGCGGTCTCTGGTTTGGACAGTGCTGAGGGGTGCCTGCTTTCTGTGCTGTGCTGATGAGAGAAGGAGTCTGTAAGAAGGAGGAAGTTCTAACTGCCAGGTGAGTTCTGGTAGAATCTCAGGCCCTCACAAGAACGTCCAGTTGCTGCCGCCACCCTGTGACGCGGCCCTCCTTCCTCATCCCCTGACCATTGTACAAGTGGAACCCTTTCTCTCGAGGGAGGGCGGTTGGTGGCGCAGGCACCAGGGTGCCAGGCCCTCTTCTGGACCCGCGGAGCGCACGCCTTCTCACGCATTTGCTGTTCGCGCGTCGAGGACCGGCACTGTGCTGGGGATGGACAGTGAGAAACACAGTGATGCTAGCGAAAGGGTGGTCCAACATGGAGGCTGAAGCTCCGTGGTGGCAAGAGATGAGAATTTACGGGTTTTCACTGATGAAGTGGCTTCCTCTAGTAGAAGGAGCCTTTTTTTTTGATAGCATCTGGTCTTCCCTTCTGTCTAGCAAACCCGATCCACCGCGTTCAAATGGCGGGCATTTCCCCAGCAGGTATTTGCGGAGCGAGTGGCACATGGAGGAAAAGCGATGCCTTGTGTGGGAGGAGCCAGCCCTTTTAGATGAGCGGTTTTCCCCATCTCCTGTCACATGTGCATTAGAATATTCTCAGAGGCCCCATTCGGGTAGCGTAACAGCGCTCTTGGCAGAAACGCTCCTGCCCCTTTAGCACATCTTGTTTGAACGGAAGCTCCTGCTCCTGTGGGTTGTATTGTTATGGAGATGGAGCAAAGGGGAAGAAAAACCTCACTGAAGAACAATTGCCTCAGCGTGGCAGGATTTGATAGCTGCGCTCTCCCGTTACTATACCTCCCGAGATGGGGGGCTGTCGCCTTGCGTTACTGCAGGACGCGACTGACTGAACAAGCAGTTGTTCTCTTGACGGTGTGAATGAAACGATGTGTTGCATGCTTCAGAAGGACGAATCCCAGCTTAGCGATACGGCTGTTGTGTGCTATTTCCAAAGATCGGACTGTGGTGTGTTGCTGCGAAAGGGTTTACAGGTGGGAATTACGGGGTGTCTCTCGAAAGCGTCTGGTGGTAGGGAAGGCCAGAGTCACCCAGGGGTTGGATTGAAAGTGATGGTGCGTGCCAGCAGAAAGGACTTCCTTTCCTCTTTTTCCTGCCGGTTCCTCACAAAGTCGGGCACGCGTGCGAAATTGGAGCAGTCCAGCTGGCTGACCTGGAACGACTTCTCTGTCTGTTTAAATCTGGGAGTCTTTGTCATCCCTGAGCTCCATCGTGTCTTTTACCCTTCGTTTCTGTTCTCATCTACACGTTATTGCGGCTTTGTTTGCAGCTCTGTGCGCTGCGCGTGTAGGAGCGTTCACCGTTTCTTGCTGAAAGTAGATTTCATCGATGTGAGCGACTGATTCCTGCTATGTGGAAGTTGGTGATCTGTGGCTCGCCTCTAGCGATCCGGCCCCCGGTTTGACGCAACCTTCCTTTGCTGGGTCGGTGTGGCGTTGCACGTGGTGCCGTTCTTCGTGGGCGCGCCCTCGCTCCCAGAGCTCGTGGATTTGGTTCTGGTTCGGTGTTCTGTCTCGCAGCGTCCTCACTAAGACTCTGCCTTGGCCGCTAGCAGTACTCGATGGTCCATTTGGGGTTTTGTTTCTTCTGTTTTAATACCATGTTAAGGTTGCTGTGAATGCAGAGTGCGGGTTGAGCCCGGATGGCACCGCTTCTCTGGTGGGATGGCTGCAAAACTTAGCATTAGAAATGCTGGTTTGAATGGAAGGGGACTTTCGGAA